GACAATTTTAATTAGCCAAGTTTCCTAAGGAATCCTGAGATTCCTAGCGTCTCTTATTCACTAGCTAATCACTTCCAGCCTTGACAACTGGAGAGAAACTTTAATGCTGGAATACCAAAAAGACATATCAGCTCAAGCAGATGCCTCAGCGACTGATTGTAACATGAAAAGCCCCGAAGGGTGAAGCCAAGACGTAAGAATCAGATAATAGTCTCGCGTTTGAGTAAATTAAACATATTTTTTACCCCACTAGTCTCGGGTTAAAGCATATTGTATCCACTTTTAATTATAACTTTTGAAAACAGGCATAATTTATTTCCAGAATATGTGGATGTATCATGGCTCAACGACCTATTTCGCATACTAGGTCCTGACCATATACTTAAAAATATCTGACTAGTTTTTTGTTTTCGTATCTTTCGTTTAATTAGAAACGGTGAATGTAAATGAATGGTAGATTTGTCCCAGTGAAACTCGAGGTAGGATCGTCTTCATGGTATGAATATGGATTGGTGTGAAGAGGTTCTCACTACGCCGTTCTGCGATTCGGATAAATCTGTGTTAACTTTTAGTCGGCTTCTCCGAGGCAGACATTGCTAACGCGTGAAAAGATGCTTTAGAATAAATCGACCAAGCTCTGATGCACTAAAGGTGGTTGGCTGCAATCTTATCTGCATGTTATGTCCAAACTGTATCCAATTCGAGCCTGTACATCCTTACATTCCCAAAATAATTTATCTACATTAAGCAATTTATGTAAATCTAGAAACACAAAGTTATTATACCCATAGTCCAGTTTGTTGTCCCCAATTTGTTAGATAATCTACCTCTAGGCTATGCTGAATAAGTTTTGATGAATTTCCTTCAAAAAATGATACCATGTGTCTTACTAATTGATAAAATAGAATCCGCAAGTGTGAAATATTTGACAATTAGAGCATATTAGCTTCTTGGTCTCCTATAAGACCTACTATAGGCCGATCTCAGACAAAATGTAATCCCTGTATTGTGATGTTTCGAAATTGAGTAATTCTTGAACATGAACCAAATCACACCAGGTCGCTTACGGTAATATAAGTAGCATCTTCGAAGTGAAGCTAGGGGAAAGTATATTGCTTCGTGGGGTGAAGTCATATCAAAATCATTCAAAAATTGGATCATATCCTTATCCACATATAATGTAATTTCCTTCAGTCCCTCTGGACCCTAACCAAAAATACTGAGGACGACCTTCAAGAGTGAATAGCACATTTAGAGTTGAAGAGAGAACGATAAAAAGTGACGAGCTTATCCTTCTTGCGGATTGACAATTTATGCTCCAATTGGCGGTAAATGCTTAGTCTTGGCCAAAACATTAACCCAACAGCGGTAGTAGCATCTTCATTAAACGAGAACAGGACTTCTGACCCGAAGTTATCTCCTTACCCTTAGGACTTCTCGGAGAGTAGGCAGGCAGCTGATTGCGGAGGATTGTGGACCTCCCTTCAACTGGCACTGGTACCTCTGACCGCTTGGCAGGCATGTCTCCGTCGCCGAACGAGAGCCTCTTCCTTCCCATTCCACTTTCCCATTTACACCCGACGACAATCGGCCCACGCTCTCTCTTGAGGCCTCTCTCGGCTGCAACATGACTGCATCCATCATGCTGTTGCTAAGGCCTCTCGCTGGACCGGCCGTCGGTCCGACGGATGAAAATGAATTACGTTCTCTTAGCTCTTCTGCCTCCATGAGGACTTCTTCCGGAGGCAGTGGAGCTGCTGGATGCGGCTTGCGCAATTGCGCCAGCCTCAAGTAGGTAAGTCGAAGTTGAGCAATGCGGGGATCGCAATAATGCCAACCGCAATCTCCTTCTGGGTAGACATTGGTACTGACAGAGTTGTTCGGGCAGATGGGATTGGAAGTCAATATCTGTTTACCTTCCCTAGTTCGGTGGGAAAGTTGACGTTTGTACAATTCTTTGAGATAGGTTCGTCTCAAACGCTGACCTCCAAG